TAGAGTCTGCTTTACCTAGATTGGGCATGTTATATATCTTTAAGCTTCTGTGCATTTGAGAGTCATATGGAAGAGAAAATTCGGGCAGTATGGTTTCTTCCATCATGACAGCACTGTGAGGGGGGAAAGCCATATCACACTAAATTCTCCTTTCCATGTAACTCCTGGCAACCCCAGCACTTCCTGGTTATTGTTTTAGAGCAGTTGATGGACTTGAGCAAAACAAAGGCAAATATTCAGGTTTCCAGGACTTGAACCAGGAACTTCATAGCTAGAAGATGGTAATTATGGCAAGTGATTTATCTGGAGTATACATGCTTAAGCGACAGAAATGATTGAATACCAGCATGTGCTAGCAGCCCCTGACTGGCAAGCAGTGGGCTTGACTTAGTGATCTGTCAATGGAAGGTAGTAATGGAGGTGGCTGTTTGCCTTGCCTTTCTCCCCCATCTCCCACAGCAGTTGGCAAAGTTGAATCCTGGGGTTGTGTGACCCGTGTAGACTAATAGCCATGTGGGTAGGGGGACTCCAGTGTGGTGAGGGTTAACCCACAGAAAATTGACCAGCACAGTTTGTTAATTTAACTACAGGTTGGAAAATCTTCACCCTGGGCCAGAAAAAGAGTTAGGTTTCTGGGACTAGATTCAGAATGGAAAACTTTTCAGGAATTGCTTTGCCCCATCATAGTGCCATGGACACAAGAGAAGCTGCATTATGCAACATTTTCCCATTACACAACCATTCAAGCTACAGGAGCCATCTTCAGTTGGCTCTGAATGTTGCAAGACTACCCTCAAGTGTCACGTGAGTGGATTCTCAGACAAAAAGGCAGCCAAGATCACCTTCTTCTGTAATTTGATAAACATGTGTTCTTCAACTGAGGCATTATGATAGGCTTTAGCTTATATTAGAGAATTAAATCACTAAAGATTAAGGGGACCTTGACACAAACTTATTAAGAACCCTAAGGATGCCAGAAACCAAAGCAACTACATTTCCCATGATTCTCAGCTCCAGGATGATGCAGCATGTGCACGTACACACAATGTTAATTGTATCACCATCAAAAATCATCCCTCTAATTCTACAAATCCTTTGATATATGCACTGATCTAATGTTATACAATGCTTATAGTATGCATGGAGCCACCAGTGGTTTTCTTAATTCGATTTTCAAGTGCAAACCCCCCCCTCCCCCGATTCCAATCACGACTAAGGGAAAGGGGAATTTAAGCCTACCTCTTCCCCATTTTCTCAAACAGAAGCTGCACCTGGGAGATTCTGTTTGTAAGGGAAACATACAGGTATTGATACGGGTACATGACTTGTATGTTTACCCCAATAAGATAATTCTCCAGGGCTATTTCAGATCAGGAAAAAAGTATGGGAGGAAGATTAAACCCCTCCTCTCACTCTGCAGTCCCAATCAAAATCAAGATCCCATGCACCTGATCAACTGAATTTTAAAAACCACTCTCAGCATCATGCCAAATTCAAACCATGAGAAGGCTCCAGTACTTCTAGGCATGGAACAGAGGAACGCTTCTTTAGGGTGTAGCTTTTGGTAATAAGAGAAGCCACAGCCAGTCTTTACATGCAAGTCACACAAGCCTGAATTTGTTGGCTAGGAAGAAAGTCCCGCAAAGTTCAACCCAAGTCCCCTCAGATTGGGATCTGGCAACCTTACAGGCATAATGAATGCTACATTTATTACTGCAACTAAATACGAGCCCTGCTGGATAAGACCAGTGATCAGTCTAGTCCAGCATTCTGTTTCATATAGTGGCCTTGGAGGGCCAACGAACAAGCCAGAGATGCCAACTTGTTTCCTGTCAGAGGCGTAAATAACATAATGACATGCATCATATGCAGAAATTCAGTGGGTGTAGCTTTTCTCTGCAAGATGATAGCCACAATTTATTTCTGCAAATTGTGCAGCTGTTTACGGGCACAGTGTCCCTGTCAGGAAAATGCCTTTTCCACCCACCTTGGTTCACACTCTTTATCATGCTTCTGTTTTCCAAATTGTCCATCCAAATTGTCCATCCAAATCCAAATTGTCCATGGTCTGGATTTGTAAATAACATTCTTTGGTTTCTCTGGAATCCATTGATGAGGAATGCTTTTTATATATAAAAAAATAAAGCTTATATTTATAGATCCCTTTGTTAGACATCTGGGTCACATACTTATCACCAAATAGGGCTCTTTTTGTAGCAGGAACTCCTTTGCATATTAGGCGACACAGCCCTAATATAGCCAATCCTCCAAGAGCTTACAGAGCACTTCTTACAGGGGCTACTGTAAGCTCTTGGAGGATTGACTACATTAGGGGTGTGTCGCCTAATATGCAAAGGAGTTCCTGCTGCAAAAGGAGCCCAGTGCGAAATAGGATACTGGAATAGAGGGGACCACTGGTCTGATCTAGCACAGCTCTTTTTACGTTAGGTAAGACAGTCTTCAGCACATACTCTGACACCCACTTTCGTGTACCGAGCAATGACAGACAAAAGTACAATCTGTATCGAGTCACTACCCTCAAACCTCAATTCAGTAATAGCATTAATCACACAGAACATGTATAATTAACGTTAAAATATAGCAATGTCATAGGTGAACTAGAGTGGAATGAACTCATCGGCACTGATTTGCCGGCTGTGACCTGGAATAAGAGTGAATTGCTGCCACCCGATATTTGCCTAATGGAAATGACAGAAGGAGTGTCAGGGAACTTGGGGGGGCGGCGGCGTTTGCACGCTCTCCGTTTCCTGTTGCTGGAGGGTGTTTTCTGTTTTCTTGTTGTCCTCACCTCCAGCTCTGGGTGATATGGGATTTCCTTGTGTGTGGGTGTGAGGGAGGTGAGGAGGACACATGACTGAACAGTGAAAGGAATTAAATCCCACCCTCTCCCATTCCCTACTCTACACTCAGCTCTTCATTTCTTTAAGTATTTCCTTTCAGGCCTGTTCTCTTCTAGTACTGGAGAAATACGCATGGATTCTCCAGGCAAGTGCCTCTACTTCTTGACAAACCTGAAGACAACAACTCAGAAGATCTCTGTTGGACCCTTAAATATCGTGAAATATCAAGCTATGAAGCAACCACGGCTTGCCCCAACCTTGCTTGGATATGTGCTATTCCTCTCACCTCATCCCCAGCCTACTGTGACAAACAGGTGTCCAAGTAGGTGCCATACTGCTTGTGAAGGCCGGGGGGCGGGGCGGGGGTCACAACTAGACCTAGGAGAAGAGCAGGAGGAAGAAGCTGCAACTGTCTCATCTCCTGAAGGAATGACGGGGATAAATCTTGGGGTTGTAACCTTGTCCTCTCTTTTTCCTTTCCCCTTTCCAGAGAACTTGATTTGTGTGGAGGCGCTGGTATGCTAGGAATGGGTATACTAGACACTGGTATGCTAATCACTTCAAACTTGGATGCAAACACACCTAACTCTCATTGGCTTGTACTCCATGATGCACGCATCATAATCTCTACAGCTGGTACCAGCTAACAGTCAAAGGGCTTCATGTGCATTATCTCGCAATCCCTAGGATTATTATTCCTGTATGTTGAGTATGCATGTGCGCATATGTGCGCACGTGGAGAGAAACCGAGGTTATGGGACAGTAGCTCGGTAAGGCTGCTTAGTAGGTTCATTGCAGAGGGGAGATTCAACTCCAGGGGCTTCCTGGCTCATATCTCAGTTTTGTACTCAACCCCATTCTTATGTCTGTCATAGACAAAGGCTAGATGACAAGGGGTACAATAATGTTAACAATGGACCGAGAACCTGTGCTAGCCAAGAAGAGTAGTTGGTTCCACTAGTGACACCTGCTTTGGTCAAGAGATGGCTTTAGTCCTCTTCCACCCCTGTAGGTCACATCTCCCTTCTGGCAAGGTTTGGTTTTCTCTTCCGGGAGCAGGCATCTGGCTGACTGCAGAGGAAATTTTTCTCTTGGGAGCACCTGGTGCTACTCACCCCAGTGTTGTCTAGATAGGCACACATGTTGTCTCCTCGCACAAGAAACCTGAAATAAGCGTTTTTTTAATTATTAAGTATGGCATTCTTATCCCGCCCTTCCTCAGAGGAGCTCAGGGAAGCAAATTTGTACCATAGAAATATTGCGTATTTTATTGGGGAGGGTTTTTTTAAAAATTGTTTTTAATTCTTTTTATATTGTATATAGGTTACTGTGTATGATGAAACCCGCCCTGAGCCTGCTATGCGGGGAGGGCCGGTTACAAATCCAATGAAATAGAATAAAACATATGGTTCTCTTTCTCCCCATTTTATCCTCAGAAAAATCTTGTGAGGAAACAGAACAAAGTTCAGTGGCACTTTTCAGACCAACAAAGTTTTATTCAGGGTATATAAGCTTTCGTGTGCATGTATGCTTCTTCAGGTACATGCTGTGAGGAAAGTTAGGCTGAGGAAGACAGGCTGTCCCAAGGCTGTTCAGCGAGCTTTGCTGGCTGAGCAAGGATTGAACATGGGTCCTCCAAGCACCCAGGGCATCTAGCCTACTCTTAGATTCAAGTCCAGTAGTGCTTGAGACACCAACAAGAGCTTCAGGGTACAAGCTTTTGAGAGTCAAAGATCCCTTCATCAGATGCAAGTAGAAACGGAGATCGCAGAGTCTTTTTATTCCAGTTAGAAGATGGGAGGGACGTTGTAAAGCAGTGATGGCGAACCTTTTAGAGGCCGAGTGCCCAAACTGCGACCCAAACCCCACTTATTTATCGCAAACTACCAACACAGCAATTTAACCTGAATACTGAGGTTTTACTTTAGAAAAAACAACTCATACATTAACTTAAGATGATCCAAACAAAGTAAGGAAAGCAATCCCAAAGGCTTTCATTGACTTAAAATTATTTGGCAGAGAATTCGACACTTTAATGATGGTCTGGGCTTGACTGGGGCGATGGCACGCGTGCCCACAGAGAGGGCTCTGAGTGCCACCTCTGGCACCCGTGCCATAGGTTCGCCACCACTGTTGTAAAGGATGCTTGTAACAGATGCAAAGGTACCATGCATGTTGCAGTCAGCTTGATTAGAACCGAGGGGGAAATGCTTGGGGGTGGGGGTGGAGAAAATTAGTATCTGTGGTGAGATAAGAATTCAGCCCCGAGGGGGTCCATTGTTCTGAACTTGTGGATTAATTCAAGTTCAGCAGTGAAGTAATTTCCCCTGGAAATTTATTTTCCGAGTCCTGCCAATTATAAAACAAAGAAATTCTTGACAGCATCCCTCCTGACTTCTGACTGGGATAAAAGGACTCAGAGATCTCTATTTCTACTCATTTTTGATTAAGGGAACTTTGACTCTCAAAAGCTTATAACCTGAAACTCTTGTTGGGTCTCTTAGAAGAAGAGAAGAGAGAAGAGACTGGATTTATACCCCGCCTTTCACTACCTGAAGAAATCTCAGAGTGGTTTACAATCTCCTTTCCCTTTCCCTCCCCACAACAGATACCCTGTGAGGTAGGTGGGGGTGAGAGAGCTCTTTCGAGGACTGCTCATGAGAGAACAGCTCTGAGAGAACTTGTGACTGACCCAAGGTCACATCAGCAGCTGCAGGCGGAGGTGTGGGGAATCAAACCCGGCTCTCCCAGATTAGAGTCGGCGCTTCTAACCACTACACCAAACTGGCTCTTAAGCTGCTACAGGACTCAAATCTTTTTTTAAAAAATATTTTTAATTGCAAATCTGACCTACTGCAGATCAACACTGCTACCCTCTAAAACTAGTTACAAACATTCCACCAAACTTCTAAGGATGAATGCATGCTAACATATTAATGCAAACAGTCCTATTTTGTGGTCCATTTTTCTTCTTTTTTCTTTTCCATGTTATAGTTTTACATAGAACCTCCTGCGGTTTCCACAACAGGACAGCTCGGACCCCGTTTCAATGCTTCATCAAGGCAGATGTAAAACCATAAAACGGAAAAGAAAAAAAGAAAAATGGATTACAAAATAGGACTGTTTGCATTAATGTATCTATTGGTATGCATTCATCCTTAGAAATTTGGTGGAATGTTTGTAAATAGAAACATTTATAGAAGGAGGAGGAGGAGATTGAATTTATACCCTGCCCTTCACTACCAGAGTCTCAGAGCAGTTTACAATCTCCTTTTCCTTCCCCTCCCCAAAACAGACACCCTGTGAGGTATGTGGGGCTGAGAAAGCTCTGTCAAGAACTGCCCTGGAGAGAACAGCTCTGAGAGAACTTATGATTGACCCAAGGTCGCACCAGCAGCTGCATGTGGAGGAGTGGGGAATCAAGCCCGGTTCTCCCAGATTAGAGTCCACCCTCTTAACCACTACACCAAACTGGCTCTCATTGATTGTTAAAAGGTGAGGGAGTTACACTAAGTTTTGATAATACAAAGATAAAGTTACTATATCACGGTTGTATTTTGTTGTTTACCATTCCAACCTGTGATCTCTTACTTTTAACCCCTTGAAGCCAGCCTACTCTTGACTGACATTATGGTGTGTATTGCAGTGCCATCTGCTGGAGTGGAGTAAACAATGCACCAAGAATTCAACCAAGGAGCTAAACTGGGATGGGTTAATAATGCTCCTTTGGAACTTGCTAGTTGAGAGCAGCAGATGTTTCTCTTTACATTCAGACCATGACAGGACTCTGCTCTAAATGCTGTCAAATTTCTTTTATACACAATGAATGGCATCTGTAGTTTCCACACGTGTAATAAGTTGTAGATGATATCATGTGGATTTTTTAATCTTTTCTCACATGATGCTACAGAGTCCCTGCCGATGCTCCCTCTGAGCTGTGGAGTCTTGTGAGCAAAAATTCTACTTTGTGAGATACAGGCATTAAAGTTGTGAGCAAGCTATTTGGCTGCTGCATAAATTAGTTTGCTCTGGAGCCCTCCTTCCTGAGCTAAGACAAAAATGTGTGAGCCAGAGGCTAAAAAACTGTGAGCTAGCTCACACTAACTCAGCTTAGAGCGAACAGTGATTCTCCACTATTATTCCAATGGAAGCTGTAATTGAAGCTTTTTGCCCTCATCTAAGCTAGGCAGACAGAAATTAAAAGACTCCTGCTCCTTGGGAGGAAAGCGATGGCAAACCTAGACAGCATAATAAAAAGTAAAGACATCACCCTGCCAACAAAAGTCCGTATGGTCAAAGCAATGGTACTCCCAGTAGTCATGTATGGCTGCGAGAGTTGGACTATAAGGAAGGCCGAGTGCTGAAAAATAGATTCTTTTGAATTATGGTGCTGGAGAAGACTCTTGAGAGTCCCCTGGACTGCAAGGAGATCTAATCAGTCAATCCTAAAAGAAATCAACCCTGACTGTTCCCTGGAAGGCCAGATAATGAAACTGAAGCTCAAGTACTTTGGACACCAAATGAGAAGGGAGCACTCACTGGAGAAGACCCTGATGTTGGGAAAGATTGAAGGTAACAGAAGAAAGGGACGGCAAAGGATGAGATGGTTAGACAGTCTTCTCGAGGCAACGAACATGAAATTAAGCAAACTCCTGAGCACGATGGAAGAAAGGTGGGCCTGGCGTGATGTGGTCCATGGGGTCACGAAGAGTTGGACTTGACTGTGCAACTGAACAAGAACAAGACGATGGCTGTCTTATTAAACTATAACTTTTAAAGAAAGTTTGGCAACAAAATCTGTTTGCTCTGTGAAGGACAAAGGCACCCTCCCAGAGTGAGAGAGAAATTTTGCACTCGTGCTTTCAAATACAGCCTCAGAAAGCACAGAATGCTACAGCATCTCCATTTTGCATCTCCAATTTATAATAACTGCTCTGATAGAGATATGATGTCAGACAAAGCCATGAACAATGTGAACTGTGGCAGAAGTATAAGAGAGACTAGGCCATTTCTGTATTTTTTGTGTATTGGTTTGAATTAGCTTATACCTCTCTATTAGGTTATTTGTCCCATAAGCCTTTGCTCTTTTGCTGGCAGCCTTGATATAAAAAGGAAAGCCTTGCCTTGTCGATGTACCTTTGCCCGAATTCCTCTCTGACACTCCCCAAGTGCCAGGTTCTACAGCCTAAACATTTATAGATTAGAGGTATGGGAGGCGCCATATCGTCTGGGCCTTTTCCATTTCTGTATAACAGCTTGAATTGACTTACATGTCTCTGCTTGGTACAGTGAGGCCCCGCAATGCTTTGCAAGCTAGCTGCAGCTATATTCCTTCTATTAAGTGCATAAGGATTTCTGATAGCTGTTGCCCTACAGCTGCCCTTCTGCCTACAAGCACTGCTTACATTTTTAGAGATATCAGTGTCAGGCGGTGTCAGGTCTACAACATATAGATATGAGAGAGAGGCACCCTGTCTCCCCATCCTTGACGAGGAGACAGTACTGATTCTCTGATGTGACAGATCACAAACTTCTTCTGGGCAAAAGTTCATACTAGACAACATTCATATTATCAACATAAGGTGGGCTGGAGTTTGTCACATGTGGAACATTCTTAACGGACACCTCCATTAATTCCAACAGCTTTAGGCTTTGTTCAAGGCTGTTTGGCCAACACCCCACCTATGATTGAGTGACGGCTTGGTCCACAGTCCAGGAATATTCCTTGTTCTTTCTGATGTGTACACTGTATCAGGCACTGCGATTTCCTCTATTGAGTTTTACTTGTGTTGTGTTCCAAGCGAGACTGCGCACATGGTCGAGCTCACACGTGGCCGTACAGACAAGCTGAGCTTCGCATCCGACAACAATAGAAGCAGAGGATCCTAGAACTCACCAATCGGCCGGTCCGGATCCTAAAGGGAACCAGTGAGGGAAAGTAGTATTGTATATAGCCTATCACGGGAGTGGGTGTGTGTGTTGGGTGTGGTTTGAACGGGAATATAAGTGGGCCGTGGGTCCCGCAAGTTATCTCAAGTTCTCCATTTGACTAATAAAGTATGAGCTGAAATCACTACGACATGCATCAGTCTCAGTACTTTATAACTTGTGTATAGTTTTGAGAATTAATAAATAATAAATAAATAAATTACAGTATTTAGAGAGGTGGGTTGCTATGGTGAAAAGACAAAGAATCAACACTTGCAAGAAATATGCAAAAACAATGGTCACAAGATAGCAGAGAACTGCATGCACTAAGTCTAATATCACACAACAAGGGTGTGGTGGTCATATTTTAGTTGCAGGAAATGCAAACATCTTCCACCCTGCCTGACGTAAGCATAATGATTTTTCATTAAGTTCTGGGAGTCTATCCTGTTCTAGCCATGTCCTGTGACCTTTCAGATCCCTCTGTGACCCACAACTAGACATCTGGATCCTGAAAACCGGTTGCCTAATGCACACCGAAACAAAATTTGCTTCCAGAAATGTTCCTCAGAGTTCTCTGTAAAATGCTGAATATACTCCAGATACTTTGATGTTGGATATACTCCAGATATTCTCTAAATGCTAAAGTACGTTCCGTATACTTGACATCTGCTATAACGCTTGTCTTCAGCATTTTGTATTTGACTTAATTAGAAAGTTGGCATCTAATACTATTCAGCAGACTGGTTTTTTAAAGTGTAAGTCGCTGATTTTTTTAAAAACCAATAAGTTACAATGACATTCAGTATTTCACATTATTCTGAGAGCTGACGCCTTATACGTTTTCACACTTGATGCCGGCTAATATAACCAAGAGTTGCTAATGAAATCACAGAACAAAACATTTGAATTCTGAGATAAAACTTTGACAAAGAGCAAATTTGAATTAACAATTTAAATAGGAAGCTGAAAACTTAAAGACACATCTCAAACATTTGGGAAGATTCATTTCAGCCCCAGAATAAAACATGGTTTGGCCCATCTGTGAGTTTCATTTAGCTTTTAGGAGATGAGTGATGAAGTTGCCTTATACCACTCAGGCTGTCTGCCTAGCTTGGTTTTGTCTGTGCTGATGGACTGCAGCTCTCAGACCCACCATTCTTCCCAGCACTTCCAGTCCTTAGACTTGGATACATTGGAGAGTCTCTGTGCACACACGTTGGGGTGATTTTTGCTATTCTTGGGGACACCCCTCCCCGGTCTCCCAGCAGCAGCATTTCAGGAAGCATTTTGGACTACCGCATGAGGCAGGGAAATCATATGCCACAGACAGAAATCCCTTTCATCCACAGAAACCGTCTGGTGGCACCAACCCTTTCTGTGAAGATTCCAGTAACTAGGGATGCTGTAAATCTCTCAGTGAGCCTGTTCAACAGCGAAAAGCCCCTTCGCAGCTGATCCAGGAAATCAGCTGAGAGTCCTCTCTGAACTGCATTCCCTCTTAGCAAAATAGCCACACAGTGAAGATGCGAAAGGAAGAAGAGCTCCCTTCCCTACAAGCTGGGCTGGGACAGAATCAAGGCTTTTGACCTCTGCATTGCTAAAGGGAGAGAAAGAGGTGGGCTATGGTCAGACAAGCAGTTTGCTGTGATAGAGTAGCATTACCTTTGAGGATTTAAAGAGCACGGTCAGACAACAACATCTGCCTTTTGTGCCCCACCCCGTGTTGCCCCACTGTGGAAGCAGAGTAATCAGGCACCGGGGAAAGTCCAGTATTAATGGATGCCAGCACTTCCACTCTGCTTTCCCAGACATCTGAACTCTCCTGCCACGAAAGGGACCTGGAAGGAAAGTCTGAACATGCGGATCTGTTTTCACCACTGGCTTTTTTTTTTTTGGAGTTGCTGCCTATATGTGCATGAGCTCATATGCGCATGCACCCGCCTGCATTATTTAAAAAAATGACCAGGCAGCGCGGTCCGTGGTTGAGGTACCGCAGTAATGTGAACGCCTGACCACCAGATGAGTGTGCGGGGAAAGTGCCCCAGGGTGCGCTGTCTGGTTAGTCTGCCCCGCAACACTTTAAACCAGTGCAATTAGGGGCATGCCCAGATCGCAGCAAGCCTCCAATATGACCACAGCCTCGTTTCTTCAAAAGCACAGCATTTGACCTCTGCATTGCAGAAGTCAGCAGAGAAAGAGCTCATTTCCCTTTCCCTCCCAAGCAGGGTGGGGAGCGTAGCAGTTTTTCTGCGCTCCTCATTACGAAAGTGAGAAGAGCAAAATTCTCCCAGCAGGAGCGCAGAAGACCCCCTCCAGCTGATCTCTCAGCTGGGAGTCAGCACTGATAGCTGCAAGAAGCCTGTTCCTGCAAATTCACATGAACAAGTTGTGAACAGCCGAATAGCATATCAATTAACTGACTGCCTGATCACCACCAGTGAAAGGAAAGCAAGCCAAACCGGCAGGTGTTCGAGAATTCCTACCAGTGACTGAACCCAGGGCCATCTGCATTCAAAGTAAGTGCTCAGCTGTTAGCCATGGCCCCTTCCCCTGAAGGGAGTTTTGAGTAACTGAACCCAAGCCCTTTGCATACAGTGAATGTAATCTGTCACTGAGCCAAAACCCCACCCTGTTCCCAGTAACTTGGGTAGCAGCCCTAAACATGTATCTTCTGACTTTCAGGTGTGTTTAGCTAATGATCCACCTGGAGATCTGTGTGTAATGTACGTCAGTTCCAGAAGCATGTGTTAGAAATTCCCCTTTCAATAGGCAAATTTGTTGTTGTTGTTCAGTTGCACAGTCGAGTCCGACTCTTCGCGACCCCATGGACCAGGTCATGGCAGGCCTTCCGGTCTTCCGCCGTCCTCTGAAGTTGGCTCAATTTCAGGTTCGTTGCATCTATGACACTGTCTAACCATCTCATCCTTTGCCGTCCCCGTCTTCTTTGACCTTCAGTCTTTCCCAGCATCAGGGTCTTCTCCAGTGAGTGCTCCCTTCTCATTTGGTGGCCAAAGTATTTGAGCTTCAGTTTCATTATCTGGCCTTCCAGGGAACAGTCAGGGTTGATTTCTTTTAGGATTGACTGATTTGATCTCCTTGCAGTCCAAGGGACTCTCAAGAGTCTTCTCCAGCACCATAGTTCAAAAGACTCTATTCTTCGGCGCTCGGCCTTCCTTATAGTCCAACTCTCGCAGCCATACATGACTACTGGGAATACCATTGCTTTGACCATTGCGGACTTTTGTTGGCAGGGAGATGTCTCAACTTTTTATCATGCTGTTACTGAAAGACAAATGGAGAGCGCATCAAGAAAAAAATTACTCACTGGTTTTTAAACTCTGTGCCATTCTGCCATTTCCATACCTGACCTGTATGTTTCGAGAGGCCAATCCAATGATGAACAGGGCGAGTCATGTTCACTAAATAACTCTAGAAGAAGAGAAATAAAGGAATGATTAATATACCTCTGTCCAGCATTAGAACTCCCTCTATATCAAGGTCCCCAGTCCTGTTGAGCCTGTGGGGACTTCTAGAATTTTGAACATGGGGAATCGGTGCCATCATCCAATGGCTGCCAAAAGAGGCAACCAGAAAATAGTTGCCACAGGGTTCTTGGGCCAATCAAATAAATGTTGTGTGTGCAACGCATCATCCTACAATGGAGGTAGGTGTTTCTGGATGGGCGTTCCCTACAAACACAAAGGCCTCCTCCTGGGCTCTTCCAAAGTTCCTCCTGCTCCACTGAGATGGAGGAAAATCAGCATTGGCTCTTTGCTTTAGAGAAGGGATGCTTTACTGAAGAAGCAAAAGGGTACCAGGAAACCCACTGGCAGGAGCCATTTTGGAGACTCTGCTGTATATTCTACCTTTGTATCTTATGCAAGGTATGAGCTTTTGTGTGCAGGCACACTTTTTCAAATACATTGGAATGGAAGGTAGAGTTCAAACTATAGACAGAGGCTGAACAGCAAATTAACATGTAACGTGATGAAGATGTTTTAAGATATGCAAAGACAAAACTAAATAACAACCTAAGGTTATAAGGTCAACAGTTGTTTCGATTTAATTAAGGGGGAAGGACAGTAAAACAATAAATATGTCAAAATAGGGGATAAATGTGTAAAGGTATCTTTTCTAATTGTGGAAGTAAACTGAGACTCTCCATGAATCTCCTCTCAGGCGTGGAGGTTCAAACTTAATTTGGCAAGTTCATACGCAAAACAAGAATATACCCCCTTCTTAATAATTGTTGTTGGGGTTTTTTGGCTACTGACATTTTGCAGGAGCAGAGCCCCAGCTTTCATTATACCTGCCTCTGCTGTCAGTGGAATCTCACTGACAAGTGCTCTTAACATTTGCATCTATATACTAAGAGTGACATGTGGCCCCTACCTGCGGATACCTTAATCCATAGATCAGGGCCGCACAGAAGCTAAACAGATTTTTCTGCAAACTTGGTGGATGCCCCACGTATGCAGAAAAATCTGAAATAGTTAAAACTCCCCCCCAAATTAAAATAATTTTTTTTAAAAAAAATCAAAAAGTGTTGTGTGCACATGCGCATTTTGTTCAAATGAAGCTTTGCCCACCATCTCCAAGTGTAGCCCCCATCTGTCTCTGGGGGAAAACTGCTATTCACTTTGACCCTCCCACATGGAAAATGTCGCTGTGGCAAATGTTGCTGTGGCCTCAGACCAGGAGCTGTCCCTTTAAACCTGGGTTCCACTCCCCAGCATGTCCTGCTCGGCCTTCCCACTGTGCTTCCCTCTCAGGCCTTCTCATCTATGCAGTCTCTTAAACCACAGGCCCTAGAGCTGCCTGTGCCTGCATCGCCTTCTCTGGGTGAACGACATTGCCTTCAGTGACTAGTGCAGTCTTCTCCTGCCCTTCCCAAGGCTTTCTCTGCTGTAGCTGCCTCCAGTCCAACAGCTGAGAGCGGCCTCATTGATCCCAGCTGCTTCTCTGTTCTCCCAGCCAAACGCAGGCTCCCAAGCATCTGCTATTGTCTCCCCCGCCCCTCCCCATGATCTGCTCATTGCCTCCTTTTAAATGTGCAGCTTGCCCAGACAGGTTCCGCCCCCCCCCCCCCCCC